ACAATAAGTGCGGTGACAATTGGGGGAGCTCCCGTAATTGTGTACATGCAGCTACAGCACCCTGGTTGCTGGGCAGACCCCGCGAAAGTAAACAGAGCGCTTCCACGTGACTTGGCAATCGCGATAACAACGGGATTGGAGATGCGCCAGGCCCGGTCGGGGTTAGCGCAGCCTTGACCACAGCGGTGCTGCAGTACGTACCTAACCTTCCAGATTCTTACCTAAGCCGGCGCCCCGATCTCTTTCTCGCCAAACGAAATTGTCCTCTCATCCCACATGGCGATTCATCGCGTCAAGCATCACTCCGCTCTGCAGACGACAGCCGGGTTCGGCGTGCTAGAAGCAATCTTGAGCTGTTTCGCTGCTCAGTGATTTTACAGGTTCCGGCTCGCGCCTTCCCGCTCCAGACCAGGGATCTCCGGCTCCGCCACTGCCAGGCTCGTCTTGCCCTCGACGATTTCTCCTCCTTCGAGCTCGACCTCGTCAACTACCACAAGAAATCCAACAACACCTTCACGAGCCGCCACCGTCTCCCCGCATTCCCCTTTCGCAAATTGCAACGACCATCTCTGTCAGTCATCAGGTGTCACTCGCTTCTGCAATAATTGAGGTTGTGCGCCCATCGGTCATTCTTGGACTCGGCCAGCAATGGCTCAATCAGGTTATGGGTACGACTACGACCCATTACATAGCTATCCTCCACGCGCTCCGTATGCGCATCAGCCATATCATCCCTCATATCCGGTTCCAGCGAATAGCTATCCAAATGGTGCGGTGCGAACCATTGTACATGGCGAACCGGCTCCCAGAGATGCCTATAATCACCATAATGTGATTCCTGGGCTGGCTTTGAACTACTCGCAGAACGCGGCGCAGTGGCAAGACGGCTGGGCGAACCAGCAGCAGCCCTCTTTCGGACCAGGACATCCCGATGCTACTCAAGTCAATGTTTCTACGCAACAGACCGATATGAGTGAGGAGGGCGAGATCAGCGAAGGTGAGGTGGAGGATGTCTATGAGCCAAGGGACGCCGAGACCGTCGGCGGCACATCATACATGCGTATAGACACAGGAAACTTCTCCGGACTGAGCAATACAAACGGCAGGCAGACGGCCGATGACCCCTCAGCCGTCATCTCCGCAGGCAAGCTACTACAAAATGTCACGGTTTCGGTCCCTTGCTGACAGAGTATGGTTAGGTCGAGATCGCTCAGGTTCATATTCACCTTACCTTTCCCCTCAGGAAATCGACCATCATTCTTCCGACGGTGAGCTTCGTCATTACTGGGCACTATGCATTGCTTCAGTGACTAATTCCCATCATCAGAACCACAGTTGAACAATACCAAGCCTTCGCAAGTAGCAGAGCCGGTCGCCAAAATGAACAGAGAGAATCAATCCGCTCCCAGCTCACCGCACGTCAAGACTGTTGCTGCGGCACGAAAACAGGCCCGGGATGCCATTCTTCGGCTATGGCCATTAAACGTACGATACCAGGACTACGTCAACGAGGGGATCGATAAATCCATATTGGACGGCCTTTTCGAGGAGCTGGGATTTGATGTAGATGCAGCAGGCAATGCTGCAGCTGTCACGCCTGGCCCTGGAAACCGAGCACGTCAACGGCCGCGCCTCCAGCTTCTACCAAGGCATCCGCATCCGTGGCAGCTTCAGCTCCCCCGCCAGCCGCAAAACAGCAACGTTCAACAAAGACCCAGTCTGAGAAATCGAAGATTCTATATCAAAAGATGGAGGCTCTGCGAAAAGCTCGTGAACTCGAGGCGCGAGGACAGAAGCGCCCTCATTCAGACGCGCCTCCTCAACAAACCCAACAAGTAACGGACAAGGGCAATGATGCTACAGCAGCAGCCTCATTCGATACGACCACCATTGGCATACGTGCTGCCTCGCGGGAATGCACGCCAGCCCAAAGCGTCAGCCCCAATGGACACCCTCCGTCAATTCCAGGTCTCTTTCTCTCTTCCACGCCGCAGCCTCCACAGTCTACGCATGCATTATTGGAGCGCTCGGCCTCTACCGGCATGGTGGATTCGAACCCGAGGCCTTCGAAGCGTCCATTTGGCCAGACCAGAAAGCCCGTCCCATTTCTCATTGATGTTAGCGACGACGAAGATGATGCTGAAATGGACATTGACTCTCCTGAGCAAAAAGTAACAGTGCTGGCTACGAGAGCACATCCGGCGCTCAAGACTTCGGTGTCCCTTCGTACCATTCCATCTGTTGCCGACAGTGCGGCTGCAGCACAACAATATTCGAGCCCTATGACCACGCCTCCTGGCGGTGGCAGCGACAACAGCGCCGCGAAAGACAACTTGGACAACATGACCAAGAAGATTGAAGCCATGAAGAGAAGAATCGCAGAGGCTGAGGCGCGTAAGAAAGCAAAGCAGTCCCAACCAGATTCACCGGCTCTTCCAGCGATGAACGGCGACTCCACCAATGGCACTTTTGAGACTACCATCAACAGCAAAGCTACGAGTCTGCCCGTATCCTTGTCTATCGAAAGCCAGGACCTCCCACGCTCAACTCCCCCAATGTCAGCCTCGTCACCAGGGCTGCCTCGATTATCTGAAGCGAGTCCACAAAGTGGAAACGAACGACACCGCAGTCGCTCGCGTGCGGCTAGCGAGCGCCTCCCAATCATTGAAGCCCGTCGCCGAGAGCAACAGCTCAAGCTGCAGCTCCTGCAAGCTCAGATGGCGAATATTCAACGCGAGATTCAACAAAGCCTTGAAGAAGAGGAGAAGTTGAAGGAGGACGTTGATGCAGTATCGAGCAGCGAAGAAACACAAGAGCCGCAAGGTAAGCTTGATCCACTGGTTGTAAAAAGAGTCGAGGCTAACCTTTGCTTTTCAATCAAGCCTTGTCTCCTGCTAAGCCGTCAAGTCCTTCTTCTCCATTGACGGACGCAATGGATATTGCGAGCATATCCTCGCAACACAACCTTGGAGCTCGACAAACCCGTGAGACGTCACCACATCAGCTTGAAGATTCCCAATACGAACAGCAGCCCAACTCGCTCATTGCTGAGGAGACCAAAGAAAAGCCGTCAGCTAACGAACTGGCCTCAATCCAAGCGGCGAATACAACAGCTGTACTCGTTGATGACCTTGGCCAGGGGCCTGATCAGACCGTTGTGTCGGTGCAAGACGATGACGCTACCACCACGCTGGTAGAGGAGACGGTAGAGGAGACACAAACTTCCGCCCTGTCGGAAGCCGGCGACGCCAACGACGCAGAAGACGGATCAGACGGCTACGAGCCTCCAGACGCTGAACTATCCAGCCCCTCGGGGGAGTCCTTGCGAGCTTCAACTTCCTTCAGTCCCGCGCCTGCTGACCTGGCTTCGTCCGAAGTGGGCACGAGTGGTCTGCAGGATCAAGAAATCGCGACAGAAACGACTGCCGCACAACAGATCTCTACGGGCCGAGGGGATACAGCTTCTGAAAGTGGAAGAGAAGTAGACGTTTCCCTGCGCACAGAGGGCCGACCGCTTTGTCTAATCGCGCAACAGGTTGATCAAGTAAGTGAGGCATTGGCGGTGCCGGCCCCGGCGCCAGCCCCAGTCCCGGCCTCTGATGCACCTCGGACCACATTCGTACCGTATGAGTCGCCCCTTCGATACTTCCACGCATATCGTTTCCATCCCGAGTACTCCAAGACCGTCGCAGGCGGCCTTCGCTCCTTAACATACAGCAATAAGATAGATGTGAAGCACCAGCTGTGCCCCGACGAGCTGCTCCACAACAGCTGTTCGAAGGGCAAAGAGTGCGAGTTCCAACATTTCGAGGACATGAAAGCACCGGGTATGTATATCTTTGAGAAGGGCGCTCCTGCTCTTGTGCGCTTTTGCATAGAGAACGCTGACATGACCGGGTGTACGATGCTCAGATGACCAAATCCTCCTCCAGCTTGGCGCTCACAACGAGTTTGACGAGGCGAGGAAGAACGAGTACATCAACGGGCTGAAGCTCCTCTTGACGGATTTCCGCAACCGCAAGGTCAAGGACTTTCAGACCATCAGCCAGGGGATCATTGACTACCGAGCCCAATTTCTCGGAGACAAGAGCAAGATCCTCCCCTTGGGCGGCGTTACGATCTGACGTGACCTTGTGCTCACCCCATCCTCCCTTTCCCACCTATATCCCGTTAGGTGCCCCCCCTTGATCCGTAATTATAACCATACTATACATATTCACCTTGCGTAAGAGATTTGAACCATCATACCCCATTGACCAGCCTAGCCGACAGCGACTTGGGAGCAGCGTTTCAGGAAACGCCCCCTCGGGAAACCAACAATTAGGTTTCCATTATTCTTCGGCGCCTTTGCTTAGCATGGAGACATGTTGATTCCATTGACTTCGGTGTATAAAACATCTAGAACATAGACACATGGCCTCTCTGCGCGCGTGTCAAGATACCCCCAGCCCCCGTTCTTTTCATTATCAATATGGCCCCGGCCCTTTTTATATGCGAGGGGCACAGAACTATAATGAACATAGAGAGATAAGTCTTGGAGCCCGGGAGCGCGGCGCGAAAAGAAGAGAGAAAAGAGGTGGGATTTCTGTGGATAATTTCTTCCAGTCATATTGATTATTTTGTTATTCTCGTCTTGCGGAACAGACAGGCAGACAAAAAAGGCTGCTGGGGTTATTTATCTTGCCATTCGTCATGGGTTCCTGGCGCTGGTGTTGTTTGAGCGGGCTAGAAAAACAAGTAGTAATATTCGAATTTGCATTGATTGCATGATTTTACTTTTCAATGGTCGTGAGTGATTTGCTCGTTTCGCTTGTGAAGCATGACTTCAACGTAGGTAGCATGAAGAGGATTTGCTTTGATAAGGTATTAAGTATAAGGTAGTGAGATAGATCTATATATTTCCAAGTAAAAGTCGCCAATCCAGAAGTTTACGCCCAGACAGTTAATGACCAACCCAAGAATCAACCCAGAGGAATAAGAAGAAGAAGAGGAGGAAGAAGAAAAAGGAACAGCCAGGCGGACAGGAAAACAAAACAAGATTGCTCCAATGAAAGCGAAGCCCCAGGCGCGGCGGCAGCCCTCAATCATCTCGTGCACCATCGACGCTGTCCGCATGGGTGGGCACAATACCGGAAGCAAGACCGCTTCCTCTCCGGACGCCCACGCCCCTCAACTTTTCGACAGGACGGGCTACTTCTTCTGCGCTCTTATTATTGGCGGGTCCTTTATCCTCCGGCGCGATGGCCTGGTGGACGCGCTGCTGCTCTCGCGCGCGGTGCTGCAGATTCTTCCTGGCCTCTTCGCCCGACGAGGACGACGATGCCACGACGGAGGCGTCGCTCTCGCTGCCCCTGTGCGGATGGGCGTGCACGTACGCGGACCCGACGAGGCTCTCCTGGCGGACGAAGTGGTACCGGTCGTACTCCTCCTCGGTGTGCTCGGCGTCGGTGAAGCTGTTGAGGGCGTCAAAGACGTGCTGGAAGACCTGGGTGTCGACATCGCGCGCCCAGAGGAAGTCGAGGTGCTCGTAGTGCGGGATCTCGGTGGCGACGGTCTGCCGCGGCAGCTCGTGGAGCATGGACTTGATGTCGACGAGGGAGTCGCTGCCGCCGTAGACCAGGACGACGGGGGTCCTGATGTTGCGGGTCGGGTACTTTGCGACCTTGGAGTACTTGCTGGAAGAGGCCACGCTCATGGGCTGGTAGACGTCGTCGTCGTACATCTGGAAGCACTTGTTGCGGATGATTTGGAACCAGTGGACGACGCTCTTGGTGCTGGTGAAGGAGTACAGGTGGGGGTACGCGGCGAGTTTCTGGCTCGCGGAGATGTTCGTCGTGCGCCAGCCGAAGAGGAACGAGAGGCCCATGTCGATGAGGCGGCAGAACAGGGGCGGGTAGAGGAGCGTCTCCCACATGGTGGCGGAGCTGAGGATGGATCGCCTGCCGAACATGAGGTAGAGCACCTGCGGCGAGGCCTTGACGAGGGAGTCGACGACGCCGTTGGACAGGCCGGCGGGTGCCATGGCGGGCGCGAGGGCGATGAAGACGTTGACCTGGCGGTTGAGCTTGGGATGGATGGCCAGCGTCGCGAATGCCTGGGCGGTGCCCTGCGAAAAGCCAATGTAGGAGAGGCTCTGCTGGCCGGTCGTCTCGAGGATGTACTCGATGCTGTTGGGGATATCGTGGAAGGCGAATTCATCAATGGAAAAGTCCCAGAACTTGAGCGACGTGGGCGAGCTGTGGATGGATTTCTTGGAGTATTTGTTGCCGCGGTTGTTTCCAAACTGAGAAGGGGTTCACGCACGTTAGCAGAGCCAGGAAATAAGAAGGAGGATTGGAGGTATATGAAGCTCACCCAGACGTCGAACCCCCTTTCCACGAGCTCAAACGGCAAGCATCTCTGCTCG